ATTTGCAGTATATGAATGAGTCAAAAAGAGTGCAAAATCTAAGCTGACAAATGATTTTCAATTTTGCGTAGTTTGGAGACGGGGTGGCTAATCAAAATGCAGAGCATTGATTGACGGGTCTTAGCTCTGAGCTGTTTGAGCTCTGTCTATGGAAATGGCAAAGCTGAGGGAATTCTCAACCTTGAAGCCCCAAACAGAACATGAATATATGGAAACGAAATCTAAATTCCTTACCAGTCTCAGCACCTAAACACACAATTTTCCCCTCTCGATCCTTACTTTTAATTTTTTCTAGCATTTTAATTTATTTACTTACCCCTTCAGACTTTGTTGGCTGTTGTGCTCTCTTGCTTGCATTGATTCACTATTAAATAAATGTGAACTGAACCTGTGTATCAGTTTGTTTGTGCCGACTCGATGCTGAGTGAAACATTCCTCTCCCGCCCTCACATCCAGGGTTGCGAATCTGAGATCACATCGATGGTGAAAGAAGCCCGAAGGAAAACTAGTCAGTGCCTGGATACAACTTTACTTGCGCTTGGACACATGGCGGTAGTGACGGGCATGTCATTGAATGTCACGGGACTGGGCGCCCAGGCTATGGGCAAGGTAAGACCACCAATAATTTAGCTGGGAGGTCTCTGTTTGGGCACTGTGGTCCACTCTACTCATGCCCCCTCATCACAACTATTAACTGTATGAATGTGAGTGTAAGGTACAGCCATGGTAACACGGTGCACCAATGCTAAGGTTTTATGTATTGGGATATAAGTAATTATCTGGTCCTTAACAGGTCATAAACTTGATATGAATAATAAAACACGATACCACACACTGTCATTATTTATTTAACAAAAATTAAGCCGAAATGTAGAAGCTGTGAGTGGGTAAAAACCAAGTCCACCCTTACTGCTTCCACTGGAATTAAGAGGAAAAGCAGTGGCCAAGTTCTGATCATTAGACACCCCCCCAAGTCAGTTAGCTCTGGTAACTGATTGGAATAATGTGGTCATAAAAAGTCATTTGTGTCCCTTTGTTTTGTTTTTTTTATCGTTAGCCTTCAGTGGTCACGTGTCTAATGAAGGGAACTGGTAAGGGTGTCCGTTCTCTCTTGGAGGAGAGCCTCACCATCACGAGGGAAATGCTGAGAGAGGCTCAACTGTCCTATCCCAGAAGCTCAGTAAGAGATCACGCACTTATTTAAAATGTTGTGCCTTTTTGTGCTCATTTATATCACAGAAATGCTATATCCGGTGTGTTTTTAAAGTGCTTATTGAGTTGCTAACCACGATACCTGTCATCTTTACACGCAGGTCCTCCAGAGCCTTAAATCAAAGACTCTTGATTTAGCTCGTGCTCTGGAGAGCTACATGTACTGCCATATTTCGGTAAGTTTCATCAACAGAATCCATTAAAAATCACAATCTGTAGCCTCTAAACCAGGGACGTCAAACTCCTTTTCATTGCACAGACTGTCCTGTAATTAAATGTTTATGTTTTTTAATTTACTGCAAGCGCATCAAAAGTGGAAAAACTGTAATTTTCCCGTCATTTAATTGTTTATCCCTTAACTAATGACTTTATGGCAGTGGGAGTGGATGGGAAAAGCTGTAAAACCTAAGAAAATGCAGTTAGAAGTTGAACATTTACATACTCCTTCATATTTTTTTCTAAAGCTCTCTACTGGGCCATATTCAGGTCTTCGCTGGGCCCATCTTGCCCCCAGGCCTTATGTTTGACACCCCTTCTCTAAACCCTTTAGTTTTTTTTTTTTCCACAATCAGATCTACAACATAATGCAGTTTAATTTCTTTTTTTAGCCTCTATTGTTTCATTATCATCATTTTTTTTTTATTAAGAATGTAATCATAGACTTAAAAAATATGTTTCAAACTTGGGGGAGGGAATAAATGGCATTAGTTATCTGCTTTGTGGAGCTTCATTACAAAAGTCCTGGCACTTGTTTTGGTTTAACCAGAGCAAAAAGACAACAGTGCGCGCTCAGCTGAGCATCCTGTTGGTAAAGGTTAAAAACGATCCTCCGTCTTGACACAGGCTTAAATGTTACGGATTAAGACTCGCTGCCACAACAGCCCCGTTAAAGATGCCACTCAGCCTTTATTGCTCCTGTAAAGCTTAGTGTGCCGTAAGCTTATCTCTCTGCGGTCATCCCTCGGTGATCGTTCACATAATGAATGTGTTGAATGAAGGGGCATAAGTCACAGCTAACAGGCTTGTTTGTCCTTATCTTAGCCACACAAAGTAGCAGGTTTTGTTTTGGCCTTTTTACCTTTTCAAACCAATACATGACACATGTAGGCAGCTGGGCTTTATGCTGTCCACAGTGTTATTGTAGTCAAATAAAACTGAGTTATATCCTCCAAAAGCTACTTTCAGGGTGTTTTTCTCACTATTGGTAAATGTAACAGAGGCTTGAAGCCAAAATATTTTCAACTTGTAGTGATTCAGACACTGGCTGCAATTCTTTTATTTCACTTTTTGTGTAAAATGTATTCTGCTTACCCTTTAAAATATAACTTAAGCAAAATACAGGAGTCAAAACTGGTTGCATTTAGTTAATAGTACATTTATACACATTATAGTAGGATTTTTGTTGTGTTTTGTATCGAATTTAACAGATGAAGTTGTGGCTTGCCTTACAAGCATGTCCTGTTTGTTTGCAGTCTTGTTGTCATTATGTGTAAGTGCTAATGTCTGCAAACAGGAGAGGGAATCGGAACCACAGGTAGAGGAAGGGGAGGAGGACGCTTTGGCTTCACTTTTGCAGAAACTGAGGACGACATCAACCAAACTGTTCCAGCTGAACCAAGCCATTAGACAGTTGCATTCATCTCTGTCTACAGCCTTACGAGGTAAAGCTTTTGATTCACAGTGTCAGACACTTACACGAATGTACTTCCTTGATGGGCGAAGGCCAACACTAGCTCTTACAGATTATTTTCTGATAGTTCAGTGGCGGCAGTGTTGGTAGATTTAAGGATGGTTGACCAGTCTGTCCCTGGTGCCCTCCTCTTAGGAAAAGACTTCAAAAGCTGCAGAGATACGATCTCCTCTTCTGCCAAGGCTGTTGACGAGCTGATCACCGGCCTTTCCAAGGATGGAATTGGGGCCCCGACCCTGCAGCTTCCCTGTCTTCAGACCGTAATGTCTGCACGAGATGAGCTCCACTCGATCCTGGAGTCCTTGTCCTCTCTCTGGAACCAGCAGGAGGAGGGAGAGAGCAGAAGTTCAGCTAGTTTTGAAAAGGATACAGAAGAAGAAAGCTCAGCCAAAGAGAGAGCTGCCACTCACAGTACTGTTCGACATCGAGTTGTGAGCAAGATTGTGTACGCCCTCGCTCCAGGTGTGCAGTCTAACAGCGGCCCGCACTGGGTATAGTCTTTATTTGTCGTATCACATGCTGTTTTACAGACTGGTAACAGGAAAACTGCAGTATAGCTATCTATAAGCCGTATTTACACGACCATCTGCACACCAGAGCAGTAGTTCCTCTAATTTGTCTTACTTCTAATGTTCTGTGAAGGCAGCTGTTGTTAAAATATTCAAACTGATTTCCCTAGCTTAGTAAAAATGTTGCTTTTCAGCACTTCACATTTATTTGAATAAAAATCAAGTGTTTTGTTAAACATTTAAGCCACCAGAATGTGTATAGCGTTACGATTAGCAGATTAACAGCATTAGGAGTAACTAGCTGTAAAGATGTGCTGTGCCAGGTTTTTGCTCCTTTACTTTATATATGTTTTTCAGAAGCATTTAATAATTCTACTGCTGGTTTTTCTTATTAGTTCAAACATGCAGATTCGATAGTCAGCACCTCAGGTACAACATTTTGTTAAAGGTCTTGATTACCCACATGTTTTCTTTCTTGCATGAAGTTATTTTGTCGTCATGTTTGGATCAATATTGCTTTTGTACATTGAATAACTCGTACTGTAAAATTTGCACTCAGGAGAGACTTGTATATTTGGGGTTTCTTCTCAATACACATACTTTAACAGGGCACAGTTTTTAATCTTGTTGGTTGTTTTTGGTTTTTTATTTAGTGCTTTATATGACTTGGTTGAAAAAAAAAAAATGCTACTTGTACTTCAAAAATATGTGCACATGGTTTGATTTTGCAAAGATCCAAACCTTTTATCTTGATGGATGCTGTTCAATAAACCATGGAGCTGTGGTTAAGACTGCACTCATAATAAAATAAGACTTTGTTGAATTAAAATCAGACCTAGTTCTATTCTTCTGCTGGTCTAACAGCACAGGTATACACAGATGCTAAAAACTAGTCTTGCCCAGCATCATTGCTCCAGTTCAACATCCAAATCTGCGTGAGGTTAATATTCTTTTTTTATCCATGTTTAAACTGAAATATCATTATGCAACATTATGCCTTTGGACTACTTTTCTAAGGGTAATCATCATACTATAAAGATTTTATGTATGCGTGTTCCTTATTTCCTCCTGGATGAAAAGAGTGATCTTGATAAAACTTTGCATAAAAGATTAAATATGTAAATCACATATCAAATTTTATACAAATTCCACAGTCATATTTGTACATTTGACAGGTCAGCTGAGTATAGAATAACATGTCAGATTAGAATGTGGTGTTATAATTTAAACATAAACATATTTGCATGTTCCATAGCCCAGTGAGGAGAGAGGCCAGGGTTAAAAAAGCTATAAAAACACTGCTTGAATAAATATGAATATATGAAGTTGATGATTGTTCAAATGAAAGAGAACATTTTAATCAATTTCTTGTTTGCTCCTAAACCTATGACATGACTATACAGAGAAAAGCTTGACAGGGTGTATAAGGAAAAAATAAACAAATGCACAAAAACTTTTATGACTCAGTTTCATAATTTTAAACTTCTCCAAAACCAACATTTTCTTTAATTCACTCATATTAAACTCATTAGGGTCAAATTTAGTGTGAACAATAATACACAAGTGCACATCCACACACATTGGAATGCCTTTGATTCTTTGTGTCATTGTGGTGGATCATAAATTTGATTAGTTTTGGAGTTGTACATCTCTGTTCCTTATATTTTGTGTCATGCCTTTATTATTGTTTTATTTTGTTGTTTTGACTGTGTTTTTGAATAGAATATGCAGTGGGAATGTAGAGGGAGATGCCATTCTTTCACCTCTCCTCACTATTCCCCTTGTTTAAGATAACTGCCATGCACAGATCTGTATAAACGTGGCAGCATGTGTTACTGTTGATTATTAG